CTGGTTCTGGGGTAAAACCAGTTTGACGTTTAACATTTTGAATGAACTTTTATTTAAGCAGTTGTTTCTCTTTTTCACCAAAGGGGGCAGCAAAGGATTTGTTGTGGACTATGACGTCTTCGAGTGACGCAAGCTAAATTTGGCACTAAGTTAGCAAAAATAAGCAAAAATGTTTGTAATAATTTCAAAATAAAAGCATTTTATTCTCATTGGAGGAACAGTGACCATATTAAAGACAAATAATTATCAAGTAAAAAGTATAATAGGTACTCCTTTTTTAAATACTGTAGTTAAAAACTAAAAGTATTGTTACTATGTGATCTAGTGGGCCTCAACGTAGGTTAGAGCGTGTCAACGCTAACAGGAAGTAGTTGTATGATTTGCAAATGACAGAGAAATTGACTATTTTTTTCAATCGCTGTCACGGAAAGAAACAGTTTTCCATTGTAGTCCGGAGTGAGATTTAGTTTATAGCGTTATATAATTTTGTGTAAATCGGGTGTAGTGGTGGTGTGTATTATTCTCACTTTGATTCCCTAACCTTTTGAAGCGGGATGGCGGAAACGAACGCCAGATATCAGCAGGTATGAAAAAACAAACAAACAAAAAAAAACCCTTATCGTCCTCATTAGCTGTCTGCTGTGTTAGCTTATAGACAGTCGTGTGTAATGTATCATTTTCTTGAACACGAACGTGATAAGTATTTTAGGAAAGCTATAAAAGTCGATTTCGTCTTGATTCTTTTCGAGAAAGAAGCTAACTGGCTAATGCACTTGCTAACTAAATCCCACATTTTTTGACGAAAGTTACATTTTTAGGCTACTTTAAACCATGAAGTTGATGGCCTCTCTGGTCGTATTATTTGTGGGCGGTGAAACAATGAAGTTTGTAAGCGTATGCTAATTTAAAGACGTGAAGAGTTGAATCTAATCTCGACCGTGTGTGTTAGGTTGTTTGGATTTCACAGATGAGTTTCAGCAGTGTTCACTAGTCCTCCCAACAAGAGATTATCATCTGAAATCCTCCAGTTGACCCGATTAGCAGTGTGTTACCAGGACAGACAGTCCTGTCTGCTAATGTGGCAGACAATGTTAATAATTCATGTATGGACACATTGGAGTTATTTGGCAAAATTTGTAGTTTTATTTATTTACTTTTTTACCTATAGTTAAACACTTCCTCACAAGTTACAGATTATATTTCTTAGTGCAGTTTCCTAAAACAAGACTTGTGTTAATGGGAAGTTTATTTTTCCCCTTCCAAGATGAAGACAAGTTTCCTGAACATGTGCTTCAGTAACAAACCCATTCAGTTTCACTTTTTGCCATCTGTAGTCATTCCAGTAAATTCCATTTATTTATGCAGTTCATAGGGCATGAGCCACACACAATACATGTATCTGCAGAGTATTCTGGAGAGACACTGACATCCAGACGACACACAGCACCCAATCCAAAAATCATCAACGTCACGACAAAGATGGAGAGTTTAACCGCACAATGTTGCTTCAGAGCAGTTGCATGACGCGATGGACGAGTTACCAAACCATTTCATTCTTCCATGGCTGTGTCGTAAATAGTAAATGGATTGTACTTATATAGCGCAGTTCTATTTTATCAAGATACTCAAAGTGCTTTACACTATAATTTGTGCCCTCGTTTACCCATTCATACACCACTCTACTAGATCTATACAAAGACTAATCAGTGCTTTATCACATTCATACACCGATGGGACACACATCGGAGGCAATGAGGGGTTCAGTGTCTTGCCCAGGGACACTTCAACCCTCAACTCTCACATTGGAGTATGACTACTCTAACCAGTCAGCCATATCCCCCACAGCCGTGGTGCGTCAAAATTGTTCTGTGCAAGACATTTAACTTTGTTTTGGCCTCTTGTTTTAAACCGTGATACTAATGCAAGGTTTCTGTTCAGCCTTGAAAAGACTGGAACAATGTGGAATGTGTATTTAGTGTTTTCCAGGTGTGGAAAAAGAAATAAGGAGTATGGAAGATATTGAATTTCAACTAAGAGTGAATGTTGCATAGACTGACTGACTGATTGATCTGCGGTTTTTGAACCCTCATTTTGAAGGTTTCAAACTATTGACCTGAGTTGTCCATATTTATAGTTTACACAAAACAGCTTGCTAAAATGCTCATTGGGAATTATTGTTGTCACAACAGACTCACCTGCATTACTCAATGGGGGAGACTCAATGGGATTAACCTGTCTAAATAAAGGTTGAATGAATTTAGGGTTTTGCAGGTGTGGTCAGATTCTCGTCTTTTTTTAAATTCCTACACAAACTTCCTGATCGACTGTTACTGTTTCACCAGGTTCACCAAAAAATAAGCAGAATAGATGGACAGCCAAGGTTGAGTGGTTCCAGAAATGCCAGGTTGAGATGATCTGGACATGTGGTGAAGAGAGATAGGAGATGCAGTATGTTGGAGCTGCCAGGCAGGAGGAGAAGATGAAGATCTCAGAAGATTCAAGGATGTAGTGAAGGAAGACATGAAGATGGTTGGTGTGACAGTAGAGGAGGCAGGAGATGGAATAATATGGAGGCAGATGATCCAACCGCTGACAGGAGCAGCTGAAAGACAAAGGAAAACGGTTTTACCAAGTTCTAAATAAGATTTTTTAAGAAAAGATACACAAGGTCAAGGTTCTTTATTGTCATTTTCACCACATGTGGTACATGAGGTGGAACGAAATTGTGTACACAGAGTCCCAGTTACATCCAACAAAAGTATAAATTGTAAAAGAAAACCGGTCATAAAATCTAAGATATGAACTAAGAATACACTAAACACTAATAGTGCAAAAACAATACGCCAAACAGCAGCACGAACATGAGTCAGTGTGAGCAGATGAGCATGAATGAACACAGCAGCATGAAATAAATCAGCAGCATGAGATCAGCAGCACATAACAATCGAGTGACATTGCAGTGATTTTTTTTTCACAGTGATTATCCTGATTAGGGATTCATGAGTAACAACTTCAGTGTAGAAGCTGTTCCTCAGTCTAGTGGTTCTACACTTAATGCTCTTCAACCTCCTGCCTGAGGGGAGCGGGGCAAAAACTGTGTGTGCTGGGTGAGTGGGGTCCTTCATGATGCAGGTGGTCCTCTTCCTGCATCTGGAGGTGTAGATGTCTGTGATGGTGGGCAGCCTCCATGCCACACGTTGATGCTGGAGCACGCACAGGATACTCTCCACTGCACACCTATAGAAGGAGGTGAGGACTGAGCTTCCCAGACCAGATCTTCTCAGCCGCCTGAGGAAGTAGAGTCTCTGATGAGCTTTCTTGATCAGGCTGGTGGTGTTGTTGCTCCAGCTGAGGTTATCATTCAGTTGCACTCGAGGGCTTCCTTTCATTTCATTTCATTTCTCAAATGAGTTGAAAAGGATGTTCTGTGGATGCATTCTCATCTACCTGCCAGCTGTGCTCGAGTGCCTGACCACTGAGATCCTGGAACTAGCAGGAAACACGGCTCATGACAGTGGAAGGACAGGATCGTCCCTCGGCACCTACAGTTGTTTGTCCGCAGCAACGAGGAGCTCGGCAAAATGCTGGGAGGAGTGGCCATCGCTCTGGGAGGAGTTCTGCCCAACATTCGGGCGGTCCTACAGTCCAGGGGAACCGAGAGGCCAGCCGAGTCTGGGTGGACGGATCGGACGGCATCTGCAGCCAGTTTCTTAGGATCCACTGTGGGATGGACCTTTACAAGAGATCCTTCCTGCCTACAGCCATCAGTATCTATAACATCTCTTAATGAAATGAGGATAACGAGTTACATCAACAAATACTTTCCGTTTGGGATTAATAAAGTATTTTTGAATTGAATTGAATTTCCATAGAGTTAACTTCAAGGTCTTTTGTGAAAACAATGTCCTGCAACATTATCATTTATTTTTGATTTTAAAATGTAGTTTAGCTGAAAACGTAGGAATAAATTTCACTTGTTTCTTTTAAATAATGGAGAAAAAAAATGTGATTTTTGTCTTTAGGTCTGTTGGTTGACTTTTATTTCTATTTTAATGAAAGAGACGCTAAAAGAAAGAAATGAGAAACAAGCAAATGACTCTAAATTTCAAAAGCTTTTATATACTGCATTTGCTTAAAAGCTTTTTTTTTAAATTTCGGTACAGTTTTTATTTATACTTATTTAAGGAAACACAAACTAGACAGCAAGTTCTATTGATATTTTCCCTCTGGATAAGCTGCTGACGTGTTCCTTCAAAAAGAAAACCAGTGCATGCAGTTTTGTTTTGCAGCTTTAATCATGAGTTATTATATCTCCCACCTGCAGTTGCCCAATGAGGAGGACCCAGAAGAGAGTCCACAGGTGGCAGCCGATGCTCCACCTCCGTACAGCAGCGTCACAGCAGACAGTTCTGGTAAGACCACAACATATCCAGGTGTTTCTGTTGAGGAATATCTGCACAGTAATGCCTGCTGAAACACGGTGCTGTAAAATGATTTAAACCAGTGGGAAAGCAGCATCCATTGACATCTCATCAGTACTATTGTGTTCATAACTAGCTGATAATTTGCTCTTTATTTAGCTGTTTATGCTGATTCACTACTGTTACAAGAGATTTAATTATTTAGAGATTATTGTGAATAGTGGCTTGGAAAATCTTTATAGTTCTGTGCCCTTTGTTTACTGGTACACACCTAAACTGTATATGAACAAGCTTTCTTTGTATGCAAATGTTTTTTTTGTTTTTTGTTCAGCCTTCTTTGATTACAAGGAAGACGGTGTTTTCCCCAAGCCTCCATCATACAACGTAGCAACTACGCTACCTTCCTATGATGAAGCAGAACGAACCAAAGCCGAGACTTCAGCTTCTCTGGTAACAGGAAGAGTGAGTGTCTCTCTTTTTGTCTTCATCATCATCATCGTCTCACACAAACAGACGTTGTGACTTATTCTGAAACACATCCGGAGTTCTTCGCAAGGCAGGAAGTGTTCAATGTCTTGCGTTGTAATTCTTTTTTTTCTCTTCATGCAACTGATTGCATCTGTGGTTTGAACAAAACAGCTTCAGAAGAAACAGAATATTTATTAAAACTCAAGGGAACAGAGTGACTAAAAGTAACCAACAGGACGTCTGGATTGTTTGTGGAAAAATCAGACAAATGGACTTGAAACTAAATTTTTCAAAATGGTTTTATTAGTCTAAAGGTGCTGCTACAGTTTCCAACAGCTGCAAAAATGTCCTTATAGAGCCTTTGTTGTATATTTTTTTAAAACTTTTAAATCAAAATGAAAATGATGAACTTAAAAAAATAGATAGTAGGTAAGGAAATATTAAAATAGCTTGAAGAAGAAAAGCATAATAGAAACAACAATTGATTAACAATAAATGACAAATGTTAAAAAAGAGATAAGAGCGACATGAATCTTTGTCATTCTGTTTGTAAAGTAACAGTGTGTATTAAAAACTTGAACGCTGTAGCTTTTTGTGCGACGCACTACTTCTGTATCGGAACAGGACGACACGTGTTGTACCTCATGTGATCACTGTAACTGCTTCTCACTTCTCGTGCAGTCTTTGTGTAAACAGGAAATCCCTCTGAGCTCTGTGAACAAGGAGCATTCATTTGACAGAAACCAACACAAGCAGTTCAATGATTTATTACAATATATAATACATGGTTATGTCTAAAACATCTAATATCACGGCAAAAACTGTTAAGTATAAAACTGTGACACATTTAATCTATCTAGCCTGTATGGTTGTAGTTTATAGCCATACTGTTAGCTCTCATTGTGAAATGTGCTATAAAACTATGATGCTTTTTTTGAGTTGATGCAAACTCAAAAGTAAAGGTTGTATCTTGCTGGGTTGCAACTGTTGGAGACTAGTTTGCATAATCACAACACAATACGTAACATTTTTAGGTTACATTAAACCATGAAGTTGATTGTCTGTCTGGTCGTATTATTTGTGGGTGGTTAAATGTTGAAACGCTGACGTTTGTAAGCATGTGCTAATTTAAAGACGTGAAGCGGTGACTCTAATCCCGACTGCGTATATTACATTGTTTGGATTCAACAGTGTTCACTAGTCCTCCAACGGGGAAATTAACATCTGAAATCCACCACGGTAAAGTTAGTTTTACGTTGGATATTGGAGCTCCGTGGATTCAGCGGCGTGTTGCTCTTGTTCGATCCGAAGCAGGCGGTCTGGTGTCGGTCAGCTGCGCTCAGTCTGCCCTTCCTCCGAGGCGTAATGGTTCGCTTAGTCAACAAATTACCGAACCAAACACTCCTGACAACATTTTTATATCTTTTAAGTCATGTGACCCACTGAAACAAAACTAATGTCAACTCACTCTACTAAAGAGGACAGATGAGACACAGGCAATTTGAACAGATTTTAATGTATTTTCTATTTTTAACTTTTTTTTTTTTTTGTTTAAAATTGATTGTTTTTGCTCAATACCTTTCATGTCATGTGACCCACTGACACAAAACTGTTAACTACTGTACTAGCCCTGACACACCGACGTTCTGTACGTCCCAACAATCTGGGTTGCGACTGTTGGAGGCTAGTGGATGACCCATTGGTGCTTCAATATTTTAGAGAAAATAGGCACATTTTTCTGTTGCAGTCTCACTAAGTTCTTACAATCGGTGAGCTTCACAGCCGTGTTTTGTTCATTCTGCTTTTTTAAAAAAAAAAAACACGACTGATTTTCATGCGCACTTCTTCCAAAACTATATTCTTGTCTGTGCCCTCAACTGTTTCAAAACAGACTGAACTTGACCGCAGCCCCAACAGCAGATTTAATCTATTGGAGTGCACTTTTCAAATGAAGACAGCAGATTTGGACCAATAATTATACACATTATCATGTGATTTTTAGACCTGAACATGCTGTCAGAGGAGAGTTCTCGTGGAGGCACAGCTCTGTAAAACTCGTGAGAGGAAACTTTTCACACACATAGTTTTTGAACATGCTCAAAGTTCACATGATAAGACCGCAAACCTCTGCAGAACCATGTAAGCAAACGGGGAGCCATCGCAAACATGTGGAAACATTTTGGAAGGCCTGCTAATGCCGTTTGCCAACCAGTCGCAGCTCAGTGAGATCCTGGCTTTAATTCATGAGGTAGCTTTGTTCGTTTTTGATGCAGGGATTATTAAAGTTTGTTCCTACTCTACTCAGCACATCAAATAGAAATGCGTAATAAAGCATAGTGGATATAACTAAGACACACTTTAACTCCTGTTGCATTGTTTAAACAACATTGCGGAATATCTTCAAATTAAATACGCCAAAAGTTTTGCTCTTGTAGGAAGACTCTCGTTAATTCTGTACATTATAGCCTAGTTTGTTGTTTTACTCTTGTTTGATTGGTCATGTTGTGTTTCTGTGCCACACATTGCTTTGCGCTCAGCAGCCTCAGCACAGGGAACACCTGGAGACTTTTGATGATATTATTCGCAGTTCACTCGAGGTAACTTGGAAAAGCGTGTGACGAGAGAAAGTTTATTTTAGTCCCAGTTTTGTGTGTGAAGACACAAATGTATCTGCACTGTGTATGTACCGTATTTTTCGCCCTATAAGTAGCGTTTTTTTTTTGTTGCATAATTTGCATGCTGATATAGAAACCTGCGACATATTTATGGATTTTTTTCCCCCATATTTATAAACCAATTTTTGGCTGAGATATGACTGTTTTCATTCTTTCAGATTGAAAATATTGAACATTACAATTTTCAGCCACTAGGTGGCAGCAGAGTAGTAAGGCATGCCATTGTGTCATGTAATAAATAAAAGTGGCTATTAATGACAAATTCAAAGCAGTTCAAGACAAAACCAACTGGACTTTATTTATTATACTTTATTGTTTTTGTCTTGAACTTTTTTGAATTTACCATGTCCCAGCTATTAATGACACAATCAGCCTGCCATAGTGGCCACCTTCATTCATCTAGCTGCTTAGAGCAACCGTCAAATCAGCTTAATTTCGCTTCACCGCCCCAGCGAAATTCAGCCAATTTGACCATTAAAGTGCATTTATTAATTAAAAGTTCAACTGAGACACATCTTTGCTATAATTTCGAGCAAACAAATAATTGTTTTATTTGCTTATCTTGTTAAATTTCGAAGAAACACTCAGCGTTCCTCCTTCCTTTTTTCCTCCCTGTCTGCACGCTTCCGGGAGCACAGAGGCAGCGAATACTTTTGAAATACAGCTGATTTGACCGTTGAAATCCTTTTATTAAGCAAACGTTACACTGAGACACACCTTTACTATAAAGTCGAGCAAACAAATAATTATTTTTAGGTGTTTATCTTGTTAAATTCGTGTTAAAGTCCTCCTGTGCACGCTCCCGCGGCTGCCATTTGGCAGCGAATCAATTTTTGGCACAACACCGGCCCACATTTCTGGGTGCTGCCCACATTTCCAGGTTGTTGGCGGTGACGCATTAACAAACGTGACCCGTCAGCAGCGTTGACGTATAATAGATGCAACTTATACAGCGAAGTGTCTTATTTATGGATTTTTTTCACTTTATTAGACATATTAGGACTGATGCGACTTATAGGGCGGTGCGACGTGTATGGCGGAAAATACAGTATGCAGTATTCCACCCTTCTTGTATGTTTGTTTGTAGTGTTAGTTAATCGTTAGTTCCTCGGGTTTTGCTGATGTCCTGCACTGACTCTGATAATCGGACTTGCAGGTGTAGTAATAATGATTGTGATTAAATAGCGCTGCTGTGTTGTGACGTTTCCATATGTCTGTCAGTAGTTTGTTTAACTCACTCTTTTTGTTGTTGTTATTTGCAGCAAAGCCTGGTTTCCTCCAGCAGGTGCCTCTTCAGGTTTAATCTCATCGTCCCAGTATGACTTGGCACGAATTAAACACCAAACTGGGCGATCTGTAGATTGGAATTATGCTTTGTATTAGCAAAGCAAATCTGTGGGAAGCTCTGCTTTGGTCTGATGATAAATTATTCCAGGGATTAAACGTTTTGCTTTCTTGTTGTCTGTTGCTTCGCAGGATGAGGACTTTGTGACCAGAGATGATTTTGAAGATGCAGACCAGCTGAGGATTGGGAATGACGGCATCTTCATGCTCACGTTCTTCAGTTGGTCACTCGTTTACTCCTTTGTTTTTTTGCTTTCACAGTAATTGTGTTTTTTATCGTTTATCTTCCTAATATCAGTCCTAATCCTCGTTCTCCGTGGCCTCAATCTCTCCCTCTCCAGTGGCATTCTTGTTCAACTGGATCGGCTTCTTCTTGTCTTTCTGTCTGACCACCTCGGCAGCTGGACGCTACGGGGCAGTTTCAGGCTTTGGACTGTCCCTCATCAAATGGATCCTCATTGTCAGGGTACAAAATGCAAACAGCAGAGTCTCACAGCTCCGATTCAAACCCGTTCAGTGGAGTTTCATGTGTGCACAAATACTCCACTCATATTTTGATGCTTTCTCTGTAGTGGTCAGCTTGTTGGATCACAACTATTCCCTGAACAATTTGCTGTTTATTTGGTTTTAAGATCATTTGAGTGGATCCATCTCGGGTCATGTTTATTCTAACCAGTCGTTTCTGTCGCTGTGTTGGGTTTTTAGTTCTCTACGTACTTCCCGGGTTACTTTGATGGACAGTACTGGCTGTGGTGGGTGTTCCTGGTGTTGGGTAAGTAGCAAATCTCTGCTTTTGCCTAAACTAAACTGTTTTCTTGGTCCCGATTTTAAATGATTTTCAGCTCCATCGAAAGTTCAGTCACAGAAATGTTGAGGTGTCAAATGTATAAAATTAAGGTTTAGTTGATTGGAAATGTTACGGTTTGATCCTGCAGGAAATTGTTGTGCCAGAGTTTCAGTACAAAGGAACATACACAAGAATCACAAGATATAAAGACAACAGAATATAAAAAAATGCCAACAATTAAGTTCTAAACAGGTGCAGACAGAAATATTGAATAGTTTATTGTAATACAGATTTAATTAATTAATTTTATTTTATGTATTATTTATTTATAAAACAAGACGACGTCTTTTTTTCTTGTATTTAGAACATTTTAGATGATTTCGCTACACATAGGAATCATCCACTACCACCTTAACCAACATGGAAAAGTACCAGTAGAGCTAAATTCCAGTTTGGTCCTCACAAACTCATAAACTCTTTGTTTAGTTCAGTGACATTACGAACTGTTGGGGACCAACTACATTTAAATAAAAGTCTCTTATCAAAACCTTTCAACTCAGTCTAAATTAATGTAGACTTACTAACCAATCTCAGTTACGGTGTGCAGCAAGGATCAGTGTCAGTACACCTGCAAATATTAATTCAGTTTAATCTTGAAACTGCCCCAATAATAAAATAAAACACTTTGTGCAAGAATTTAGGAGTCCAACTAAGTTACTTGCAAGAGCAAGCAAAAATCTTAAATAATTTGTAGAAATTATCGCAAATATTTATTTATTTGCTGCAGCCCATAAACCTCTAGTGATGCACAGTAACCAGCGAGAGGTTGATCTTTTTTTTTTTACCAAGAGCTTTAAAATGTGAAATATTTAGGCCAACTGGAATGAGGACTTGGCTTTTTTTATGTTGCAGCACATTCGTGAACCTATCAAGTACCTTAAATGTTTGTGAAACAGTGAAAACTCTTCAGATTTAATGTTTTCTCTTCAACTAAATCACAAAGTCAAACTAATAAATCTTTGAGAACACATCACGTGTATGATACATGGTCTTACAATCCTTGGCTTTGTAATTTATAACTGAATTAAAAATAAGAAGGAAGTGTTTTTTTTTTTTTTTTTCAGAATTTATTTATAAGGAGGCTTAATGTGACAGACTTAAATAACCTCTGTACTAAATTATTCCCAACTTCTCTAAAATTGCAATTATTTGGCAGAGTATCTAAAAGTTTAAATACCGTATTTTTCAGGCTATAAGGCGCAATATCAATGAATGGGTCTGTTTTCATACGTAAGGCACATTAAGCGAAACAAAACAGTCAAATAAGTGAAACTTTATTCAGCTTCTTCACAATAACCACATCAAATGGGTTTGAAGTCCGTAAGCACAACCAGAATTAATACATAATGTGCACCTGATTATAAGGCTCACTGTCGATTTTGAGAAAATTAAAGGATTTTAAGTGCGTCTTATAGTCCGAAAAGCACGGTATCCTAAAAGTGAAAGTTAAATCAGGCAGACACAACTGTTTTAGTTTTGCGAGTACAGCTTCTTCTAACGTTGTTTTGTTACGTTTGTTGGGAAACACTCTCCTTTCTTAGTGATATTCAGTGAGAATAAAAAAATATGCAGTTGTTGGCTTCCTTAGCTTTACAACTTTTTACTTATAGTCTTAAAAATGATTCTTCTACTGAATCTGACTGTAATGGGAACGGGTTTTAACTGGAATATAATTGGCTAGAATTGGACAGTGTAAAATTGCGTTGGATGCTACGTAAAGGAGATAATTTCTGCATATAAACTAAACCTTGTGAACATCAAATATTTCAAATATATATGATAGTTAGCCTTTTATTCTTATTGTTTCTCTCTCTCCCTCTTGTTAAGGCTTTTTGCTCTTTGTCCGAGGATTCATCAATTATGCCCGAATTCGCAATATGGCCGACTCCTTATCTACTTTACCCCGTACTCGAGTGCTCTTCATCTTCTGAGCTCACGGACCACCAGTGTTTTTCATTCTTTATTTTGTGATTGTATGACATGTTTTCAATTTAAAAGGGAAACGAGGATCTTATTTTTACCCTCATGTTGACACAGTATTTGGACAATATGACACCTGTCGCCCCCTTTTAGTGTAAAATCAGTGAATGCTGAGAAATCCGTGCAACTCTTGGGTTGTTAGTGGTGAAATGTCAAGTGCTTGAAGTGTAATGTTCAAATGAATGCCTTACTGTTTTATTGTTTGTAGGTAGCAGCAGCATGGACTGGTTTTTCTTTCAGCCACCAGGGGGCAGTCTTGTCTGTGCGTTTTTCTCAAATAGGCTGTCTTGTACAGATTGGTTGCCAGCCCAGAGCTCTTTGGGTGATTCAGGGGTTATGGATTGATTCAACACAGTGTGAGATTATGTATTTCAGTTTAATGTGCTTTTAACTTCTCTGGCCAATGTGTTGCTTGTGAAATAAAAAACAATTCAGGTAAAACTACAGTGTTAAAAGGGAAAAGTAGGTTTTGTGTTGATGGGCTGAAAGGACTATTTGGAAGAAAATAATCATCAATTTTTGTTCACGTATTCATAATATGCCCATACACTTGATGCTAGTAAATATTTTCCCCCCAGTTACACACATATATATTAGCAAAGTACTAGCAACTGTTTTTAAAATGGTCAAGAGTAGATCGTGAGGAAGACCGAGGGCCAAGTTGATAGTCTGGGTTTAGATGAGCATCCAGACATTTCAAGTTCAATAAAAAATTTCAACACCCAAAATGAGTCCCTGGCCTCCTGTTTTCCATTTCTGATCAGTGTCAACCAAACATTTACTTGTTTTTTTTTTTTTTTTTTTAAAGGGAAAAAGTTTTGTGATAAATGAGAATTACTTTCATTCGAAACTAGTTAGTTTTTTGTCGTAGCTGAAATAAATCTAGTTCAAATTCAACATGTTCTGATTTATATACTTCTAATTGCTGAAAGATGGTGTGAGACTATCAATATTTCATATATATATATATATATATATATATATATATATATATATATATATATATATATATAT